GACTTTGGCCTTAAATATTCAGTTGTTTTTTTTCTTTGAAATAAATGATGTTTGGTACTATCCCACAAACCAGACACACTTTACAAAGAAGAATCAAAAAAAAAAAAACCTTAATGTGCTGAAAGCTCTAACCCCAAGCAGATGGGATGCCATTACTAAAAGGCAGGTCCTTAAAATCTATCATCATTATAAAAAGCTTGGACATTGTTAAACCTGGGATGCTGTGTGCCCAGCTGGATTAATTAATACCCACTACTCATTGACCTTTCACTGAGAATGTGGACAATCATTCCCCCAAAGACAGATGATTCTCTCCTTTGCCTTACATTGATGATGCATACAAAGCCTTTTGATGCAAAAAGGAGGAAAAAACCTATATAAGAGTACAATTCCAACTCATGTCATGTTTTCTTCTATGTTAAAGAAATTTCATAGCATATTCCAAGGAGAGAGTGTCAATAAAGTTCCAGTGCAAAATTCAGAACACTACCTCATCAGGCACATCTAGTCATTCATAATACACCAGACTCTTCACAGATGTACAGACATGCAGCTCTGCTGGTTTCAACACAATTCACTGAGGTTGTTGAGTCTTTTTTAGTGGATATTATATCCAGTGTTTTACAGAACATACAACTGTTCACTTATCCGTTGCATTTCTGTTATGTTAAAGAATTGTTGCAGTTTACTGTGTTTGTTGTGTTAGACAAGAAATAATCTACACTGAATTTTTAGTCACATGGAATCTTTATAGTTCTCCACTAAACCAGCAGCACACAGTGAAGGGTGAAAAAGGAACCTATCCAAGTCAAACTGCAGGAGGCATATAGGCTGGAATTAGACCAGGACACCAGGGCTAATTTCCACTGTCCTGTGATAAGTACACGATATCTTTAATGACCACAAATGGTCAAAATCACAGTGTCATGTCTTATCCCTCTGAATGCTGACAGCTCCAGTAAAGCCATCCATTAACACCATGCTTGTGCACTCAGGATTGACTCTGGAGGCAAAGCACTGCCCACCAGAAAAAGGAAAGGCAAAGCTGTGGTTTCTTTTGTTGCCTTTCCTAAAATCATTTATTTCCTGTGACCCTGAACCTGAAATAACAAGTTAAACAGGTATGCTCTGAGAGGTATTGAACCAGCACATGCCTAATTTTACGTATCAAAGTCGCAAGAGTGAACTCAGAGGAAAAAAAGAGGGAAAAAAAAGGAAAAAAAGTACATAAATGCTACTAAACTTATTTATCCTTCCCCAGCTTCCACTCATGTATGGCTCAGGGATTTTCTGAAGAGTTAGCATGTTTCTACTTAATAGCTTTGAATGGATTGAACTTGTTTGTTTCAGTTTTGAATCTATGTCAACTTTCAGCACCCTTAATGACCTCTGAAATGGAGTTCCATTACTTAAGATGTGAGTATGAAAAAAAAGCTCCTATGTTTTGAACTGCCCTATTAGTTTCACTTGATGCTCAGTTCCTACATGTAAAGAAGATACAGTCATCTTCCACTTACTTTTTTTAATGCCATTCCCATTCCTGTAGATTTCTATCAAATTCTCCGTCAGTTGATTTTACTCCAGGCTGAAGGGTGTCAAATTTCCTTCATCACATGGAAGCTGCTCCAGAAACCTGATCACCTTTATCACTCTTCACATATTCACTCTGAAATGGGAGCATGAGAATTACTCATAGCACTGAGGAAGCAGAATAAACCAGAACTCTACAGAGTCATGTTTTCCAATTTGTCTTCTATTTTTATTTTTTTTTTGGTAATAACTCCTAACTCAGCTTCTGTGTGTTTTTTTCTTCTGACCAATTCACCTGAAGTCAATGGAGCTGGGAATTACTCGACTTCAGTTATTTAACATTGTGCCCAGTTCTCCCCACAGCAACTACCAACACTGATCATGTCAACACATGATACCTCTGGTTCTTTTAAAAGACATTGCCTGCTATTTGTGATTTTCAGCTGTCCAGTTAAGTTTTCAACACATTATTTTCACACAGAACATGACATCAAACTCTTCTATTTATCCAAAGATGAGTTGTCAAGTAGTTCTTTCGGTATTTTCTGTAGGAAATAAAAGCAGAACTTCACAGAAAAGCTTGGCAAGAGTGAAGTTTGCTGTTACCTAGAAACTGGAAGTTCTTTCGGTATTTTCTGTAGGAAATAAAAGCAGAACTTCACAGAAAATCTTGGCAAGAGTGGTTTGCTGTTACCTAGAAACTGGGGCTAAAACTACTTGCTATGTACAAAGACAAAACCTTTGGGGACCTTGATGTAAGCAAAAATAAGTTTGTGCTCTGTCCAGACAAATACACAAAATCTCAAGCAATGGCTGATTTAACTTAACTCAAAAGATTAGAGGAACTCTGAAAGTGAGGGGAAACAGTGACAGAGGCATTTAGAACCCAGAAAACTGAAATGGAAATTAGCTTCTCTCTCCAACAGACAAAATCATCAGAAGAAACATTAATTTTAGAAAAATACCTTAACACTGACTCAATCAGCAATGCAGTTCTACCAGCTGAACTGCAGCATTGTCTCTGATTGTCCAGCTCAGGTAAGATTTTACCATTACAGGTAAGATTTCAAATATTATTCATCCTACCTGGGAAAAAAAATAAGGTTATACCTGTGCTACAGGGAAGGCAGTCTGAATACAACAGAGATATGCCCATCCATGTCAAAAATCAGCTGTAAACTCTTTATAACCAAAAGGAATTTCCAAGAAGGAAAGAATGAACATTATATTTGGTTTCTCATAATCCAGACTGGATTTTCAAGCACTGAAGAAAACAAATCTAATCTAAATAAATAGATTCAGAAATCAGTACATCTAAGAAAAAACATGGCAACACAATTCTCCATAATCCAGATAATGAAAACACAAAAAAGTGCTCCAAAAATTAATTTTTTTAAAAAACAGTTAATAAAAATTTTATTCAATGGATTATGAATTTCATTTTATTTCCAGATTTATTTGTAGTCCACAAATGCTTGTCAACAAGAGTACATAAAGACAAGCTAGGACTGGGCAGAGAAAAGAGGTGGCAGCTCTTGTTTAGATTCTTGAAGGTAATGCTCATATGCTGAATCTCATTTGGAAGCCATTCACAGGAATTAAGGTAGAGGATAGATATGCCATATATATATTTATAGAACATCAAGATATAGACATAAAATACATAACAAAAAGGCTGACATCAGGACAGATGGCTGGTTCTTACATTTTTGCCAGGATGTGCATCCTCTCTTCAATTATGACTAGATTTGTCAAGTTCTGATTATGTATTGACATAAAATTGTTACATCCAATCACATAATCAAAACTGTGCTACTAATAAGAAAAATTACATTAAAATAATTCTAAAATATTCTTGCTACAAATCTATGAATTTCTATGTGTATCTTTTGAAATTTAAAAGCAAGTCAGAAGAGCAGGGTGGGAATCTTTATTTCTGTATAATCTACGCAATAGGCTGATTTTAAGAGTCAAATTATGATAGAAATAAAATATATTCCAAGTGAAATACAAATACATTGTAAGTAAAGAAGAATATAAAATTCTTCCAAGGATGAGATGCAAACAATACTCACCACATGGTTTCAGTAATAAATTGGAAATTACATAACATGAAAAATACTATAATTCCTTGGTCTGCCACTAATTCCACACTGATATTATCTTTATCTAGTGAGTATACAGAAGCCTACATAGCAAATACTATTTTCTTTTCTTCATGTTATATAAGAATAACAACTACAAAAGTCCTCAAAATGGATTTCACCCTTCTATCACAGTAAATTTTGTACATTCCCAGAAACATATTTAGGGAATAATAAGGCAGTTTTGTAAAATCTGCAAAGAAACACATGATTGGAGCACATTAAATTACTTTGGCAGAGGGGATACCACAGGAGAACTCAAAGGTGGGCATTTTTCTGAAGCTAAGTCACAAAGATGACTAGAAGGCACAGTATATAGTTAACATTAACTCTTTCCATGTGAATTTTGTCCTATATTGTATCAGGAAAGGAAACTGTAGCATTTTTAAATTCTGTGTTATACTGCCCTTCTGAAAGCATTCTTCCTATTCGATTGCACCATCTGGTTGGCAATTTGCCTATGTGTCCTTCCTGCTTTCTTGGAAACTAAGTGGGGATGTGCTAAGGAAAGAAATGGGAAACATTGCCTCTCAACGAGTTGCCTGCCTGCAGCATTTTAATTCTGCTCCCATTCTTGCCCCTTTTCTTCCATTTCATCACCATGTTCCTGATTCCTGACCATCCCTGTGGCCATGGACTGGGTTACTTCCAGTAGAGGTGATACCAAATGTTTAAATTCCAAATAGCTTTCTAAAGAAATACTTCCATGTGTTCCCTCCACAAATAAAGGCATTTTAGGGTTGGTTTATGTGGCTGTATTTAAGGTGCACAGCACCACTCTATTTTAATACGCCTTGGTGTATCCAGACACATGGTTCTTCCCCCCCCCCTTTCTCTCCATTTTTGAACAACTTATATTTTGTAACTAGGAACTAATTTTCCACACATTTTTCATTTTCATTTTTTCTGTAAGATCTTGTATCAAAATGCTAGCCATTCAATATAAGGACACCATAATGATAAAGCACCAAAAAAACCCGTTTAAAACATTTTATTTATATCATGAAGCAGTGTCAGCAAAAATGTGGCCCTGCTTCCTCTACAGCATTCCATCTAACCATGAGACAGTTGTGCTGGAGGGATTTGTGCAACTAAGGACCTCATACTAGGACTACATGAAGTGTGCAGTTCGTAGTTCATTGTCCTCTCTCTAGCAGACCTTGGAAGAGCCCAGGTACTATTTTCCCTTGTCTTAGGCTTGCCATATTAGAGGCAATTACATTATCCAAGTATAATACAATCAATGAGAAATATCCAGGACTTCCAGCCTTTTGGATAGTAAGCATAATTGGGAGCATGAAAGGTATATTGTGCACATACCTGTTGCCATCTGGGTGGGTCATAAATGGGCGATAAATAGGCAAATAAACCTTTTTTTTCCAGCAGTGGTCAAGAGCTCTAGAAGACTTTGGTCTCAGAAACCACAGATATTAGAGAACTGATTTGATGAATGCATTAGTGAGGATCCAGATGCAGAGATTTTACTGAAATATCTGTGTTTTCTTACCCAGGAATTAACTGCACATCTGGAAAGAGTTCTCCAGAGTAGCAAGAAGTTGTTTGAAGGCTTAAGATTAAACACATAAACCATTAGAATTCTTAGATAGGAGACAAGAACTAGTGCAGAATTCAAATCCTCCAGAATCTCAGCTGAATTAACACCTAATCCCACAGTTTATTGACCATGACTAACAACATCACAGCCATCAATGGTTCTTCCATGGAGAGCTCCTTATGTACCTGAGGGTTTACATTTGGGCATGCCTGGAAGCACTGCCTCTTTTGCTGATAAACTCAATGCTCTGGTCAGACCTTAAACCCCACTGGATTCACAAGTATTCCTCTGCCTCCCACACTGCCTTCAGTGGATGTTCATCACCTGTCTAATTAGGTTCCATACAAAAGATGGAGTCAGAAGACCATGGGATGGTAGCACACCTTTGTGTTCTGAACACCTACAAACACCTGTGACATCCCCACTCAGTGACTAACGAGAGCTAACTGCACATTCTGTATGCACTGATCAGCACATCATCCTTCTCCCTGAGCCTCTCCTTTCTTCCCACCTTCACTTCAAGTATTGCAATAAAAATTGCAACCCAGAAGTCATACATAGAACCTATCCATTCATTTAGAGTACTGGAAGAATGTGGTGCCCTGTGAGGAGAGCAATTTGTGTTGCTGACTTTAGTATGAGTAAGGCAATCCCTGAGATTATACAGTTCATCACAGAAAGCTTTTTCTCCATTTCTCTCAAATGTTATCTTTGACCCTCAACTTTACACATGATACTTTTACATCTCTGGGTGTCTCAAATCATCCTGCTCTTCTGCAGAACAAACTCTCTAACTGCTGCCTGCCTCAGCAGCAGTCTCTTTTCTGAGCTATTTGTGACTTAATCTGGTGCCATAATGTTTGCTGACTACTTCTTTAACTGTTTCCTTGATATCTTGACATAAAATAATCATGCAAATTGGAAATTTTTTACTGGGAAATGCCCCTGGATTTCCATTAAAGTGCTTTTGGTTATGCCAAAGCAATGCAATTGGCCATAACCAATAAGTTGAACATGGTTTTGTTTCACAGTTCTGCCTGTGAAAGCTGTTAACAATACTGAAGGCATGTCAGTATTTTAAACTGGATGCAACATCTATATTTACATACACAATAGTCCCTAAAAACCTTCTGAGAGCAAACAAGTTTTCAGCATCAAAACCAAGTATTTACCATACTTAAGATGCCCATAGTGTCTTAAACAGAACCATTATTCTACGTTCCAACAACTAAGACATACTTCAGTGTCCAATATGCCAGAGCACTGAAACAGTTATTAAACTATGACTTTTTAATGGGAAACCCTGTACATGTTAAAAATACGATACAGTTCCTAATCCTATGTAACTAAAGGTATCTTATGCATATTATGAAGATTTAGAAACCTCTGAAAAACAGATGTGCCAAGCAACCCAATTAAAGGAAGCATGTATTGAATTTATTTATTAATTTATACAGTGCCCATCTCAAAGCAGAGTCTGGAGTCCTGTACAAAATAAAACAAAAATTAAACCAAACTGGGCTCAGAGCCAGGAGAAATCAACGGCTTGAACAAATGGGGAGGGTGAAAGAAAGCTATTCCAAAAAGATATATATATGTCTCCAGATACTGGGCTGTCTTGTGGACACGTCATAATATCAATACTGGAAGTAACAGAAATATAATTTACAGCAAGCATAGAAATATTCAAGAAACAAAAGAGAGCAATTATGACAGAGTTAATTTACAGCTATTGAAAGCCATAGTACAGAGGCAATTACATCGGAGGAAATACAAACTGTGTGAATTTTGAATGAAGATTGAGTACATATACTGTCACACAACATCTACAGGATTTCAGCTCCAACTATTGATCATATTGCATTTCATTCTTTGATTGAAATATTTAAACAGTAAGAAAACATTGCAACTGCTGTGGGAGAGCTTTTGGGTGAGTATTCCCTCAAATATATGAACTCTTATTCTATTACTGTCCTCCTTCCCATATTTTATTTATAACACATCAGGGTTTTTAGTCCTTTTTACAATTTTGATGACTTAGATGAATAATGATGAGGTAGCTGCCTAAATACAGGGCTGCTATGAAGAAATGCCTCTGAGATCTAGGGAGAAAAGAGAAGGAAGCAGCATATTTGATGTTGAAAAGCCACAAAGACCGGACCAGACAATTAAATTGGCTTTTGGCTGTGTATCCTCACCTGATCACAGAATGGAGCAGGTTGGAAAGAACTACATCAGGTTATTTAGTGTGACCTTCCTGCTCAAGCAGGGCCAGCCCAGAGCACAAGGCACAGGGCTGTGTCCAGGTGGAGTTTGAGTATCTCCTGTAAGGGAGGCCGCCCAAGGTCTCTGGGCAGTCTGTTCCTGTCACCCTGAAAGAGGAGGTTTTCCTGATAATTGTGTGGAAGGTTTAGCCTGTGTTTTAGTTTCTGCCCCATTGCCTCTTGTCCTATTCCTGGGCCCCACAGAGCAGAGCCTGGTCCATCCTCTTATGGATAAAGATAAGATCGCTCTGAGTCTCCTCCAGGCTAAACAGGCCCAGCTCCCTCAGCCCAGGACTGGACACAGGGCTGAGCAGAGGATCAGGATCCCCCTCTTTGAGCTGCCATCAGTGCTATTCCACGTGCACCCCAGGATCCCCTGGCCGTGTCCCCCTGGGGGACAGGCTGCTGGCCAGGGACACCTGGCTGTCCACCCTCCCTGACAGAGCCCCTTTCCAGCCTGGACAGTGATGAATTCCCTCTGGAATTCCCTATTTGCTCCAGCACAGACACCTTTTGGCCTGGATATCCAGGGGGAGTCCATTTGGTGGCAATAACCCCACAGGCCCAGGGTGGCAGCACTGGCAGGAAGATGGAGGCCGTGTGAGGGGAAGAGCCACCACCAGCACCTGCTGGTTTTGACTTTTTTCATTATTATGTTATTCTGCCCATACAGTGAGCTCTTGTTATTCTGCCCATATTCTGCCCACAACCATTTTTTTTCTGACAGCCCATCTCGTAGGACACCCCAGCATCAGCTGTGCTGTTGGCACACAGAATTTTATTCACTGAGGACACTTTCAGTGACTCCTGTTCTACCCATCTCACTTTTCCAGAGTCTCTGTCTGAACAATCCTCTCCTTATAAATCTAATGAAAACTTTAGCAACAGGTTCAGATTCCTTTACCAACAGGATTTCAAGGTGAGATTCAACAACCAAATCCCAGTCAGAGAAGAAAAAGACCTTTTCTTCTTCACTTAGTGATTTTGAACTATTTATAACCAAGCAAAGTTTTACTGAAGGTGAGTGGTACAGTAATACGTCTGAAAATATCAATGATGTTAAAACCCTGAGAAAATGTAAACACATTTGAGACATGGAAAAAGGTATATCTATAAATAGTTGTAAGGATGGACAGTAATCAATAATGTGTGGCCCTGACTCAATTAATTAATCTTGTGTTGCACATCATACCAATGTACTGAGAAACATTATTCTGGAAAAAACAAAATTGCTTAATTATTTTTTTTATATTTTCAATGTCTTTGCACTTCATTTAGCATTTTGAAAATTTCTAACTAAATTACGTAGCAGTAAGACAAACTAATGTCTTGCAAATGTAATATAAAGAAATGTGCCATCTTAATGTTCTTAAAAATTCTTATAAAAGTATATTTCAAAATAATAGATTAAATGAAAATCTTTAATCTTTGACTGTGAGATAGAAGCCCTCACAGTTAACTTCATCTCCAATTTTAAATATTTCTATCTATTTCTGCAGATTTAGTTCAAACACTGAGTTTGCTTCCTTAATTGTGTGTTATATTTTCAGGGGAGTGAGCTTCCCCTCACGCATCTCCAAACAGACACCTGCATATCCATGAGCAAGAGAAGCATTCAAACACCTGGTATGAATCTTTTTTCTAGGGCAAGTTTAGCAAAGAATCTCTTTAGCACCTATGATTAAAAAACATTTTCCCAGGAATCTCTTATTGATTTAGATCCTAGCTGAAGCCCCCAATCAGCTTTATCAGAAATGAAGCTCTTCAGACTTCTAATTATAACACAATTTTCATTTGCCCTTTAAGGAATTACAATACATCAGGATACAATTTTCTCTCCTGAGTGCTTGCCTCCAGATTATTAATACTTTCTCAAAGTTGCAGCCAAAACAGCTCATTTCAAAAATGCAACAAAGATGCTTTGCCAAGGTTAGCAAAATCTGGCAACTCATTCCTTTAAATGCTTTTGCACTTCCAAAGTTGAGGGCAAAGGTATAAGAAACAGAGGCAGGGAAGGGAAGTTGAAATTGTAAAAGAAGGAAAATAATGAAAGAAAGAACCTGAGGGACAACTCTCTTCAATAAATCAAATTAGCCAAATCCAAAACTGGAGGGAAAAAAAAAGAAAACCAATTCTCTAACACTTAATAGCAACTTACTTACAAAGCCATATCAGAGAACCCCAGCAATGCTCTCACAGAGCTGTGGCATCACTCAGGTTGGAACGGACCTTGTGGGACCTACAGTCCAATCTGTTGCTCAAAGCAGGGTCAGTCCAGAACTCAGATCAGATTTCTCACAGCTTTGTCCATTTGGGTCTTGAAAAGCTATATAAATTGAAGAGTGTACAACTCTAGCAGTCCAAAACTTAATTACCTTCTTAGCAAATTTATTTTTCCTTGAATCTAGGCAGATCTTCCCCACTTCCAGTTTGAGCATGACCTTTTTCCGGCCACTGTGAACCTCAGTATGTTCTCAGCCTCCTCCTCTTTTGGCTTCCAAGTTTCAGAAATAATGTTGAGATCAGACAAGCTGCTGTGGAGATAAAGAAAAAAAAGAAAGGACATTAAAACTGGATTACTATAGAGATTGGGTGGAGGAATTACATGCAATAAAATGCAGCAACAGCAATCCAATGAACAGCTAAGATGGAAACAGGGTAAAGCATGAGAATTGGGAGTCAAATTCTATAGCTTAATGTCTCCAACACAAAACATGGTGCAGCATTGTAAGTACAGACAAAGGAGATGAAGAAAGGCTACTAACTCAAGTCTTACCTTAATTAGGTATTACTAACTTTCCAGCTGCAAGGTTTTGTTTTAATGCAGTTTTTTGTAATAATGAACCATATACCTATTTAACTGATTTTGATGCAAAAGAACTCATGAATTAGAAGCGTAGTCATGAAAAGCCCACGGCATACAAGTTGTGATGACTGCTGTGGTATCTGCCATAGTTTTCAGGTCTGAATTGCTCTTTAGTAACATTAATTTCCCAGTGTGTGCCATTTTTTCAGGCACTTTCTGAGATTGGCCATTGTATAAGTAGCTAAAACCTTTTTCATGCCGACCCTTTTCAAAATCTCATTACTGAAAATAGGAACAGTTCAACTGATGTGGATTGAAATCCTTGGACTTTGCAAGTACATCATATTTCTGAATGCATAAAGCTACAACTCAGCAGGTACTTAGGTATGTGCAAACTAATTGCATTCTAATAGTACTTTCGATATCGGAATTGACAATGTTTTTGAAATGAATCATCCACATACCCATAATGCCAAGTAAGAGACCAGACTAAACGCAGAGGAAAAAGGGACATGAAAGGCCAGAAGTATGATAAGGACATTATCATATTACAGGCATTGCAAGCAGAAGTAAGGAGACAGAAGAATATTAGTAAGTGGTCACGAAAACACTTCAAGAACACATAATCAAGATGTACATAAAGCCTATAGAAAGCTTTTCATTCTCTTTTGCACCAAAGACTCAGAACTTTTGTGCTTCTGGAACGGGTAGCTTAGTGGCACATGGGGATCTTGCCTTTGAAACAATTAATTAATTAATTAGAGAACTATTCAGTATCCGATCACACTCCTGAATGAAGTTGAAAGCAGTGGAAGAGATGATCTGAGCACTGCCTTTTGCTTTTTTGGTGAGGTAGAATAGTGCAGCATTTAACCCATGTTCCTTACTGGATGATCTCACGGGAAAGGGAGTTCCAGTTCATGCAGCAAAACCTCAGCTGAAATCAGTCTGACCAATGATGGAAGAAATGCATGGATATAATCCATCACATAAATGTTGGGACTAAGCTGGCAAAATCTCATTGATGTGAATAATCCCATCAATACAGAGTCTAGATTAAAGGATACACATCAAACCCCAGCAGAGTAAAGGTTTTAAGCTCACCGTTTTAGACAGAGATAATGTTCATATAAACATCCAAACTTCTGAGACTTTCATTAGAATCAAAGTGCAAAGCTCTCAGGGTCTGACCATTAATATGCTGGCACACAGCAATCTCGCTTGATTGTGTGAGACAATCAAGCTCTTTTGCAGAATTATATGATCACCCCTACATATATGCCACTTTTTAAATTTTTCAAAAGCTTTCTTGCTTTTGATTTACTGCTTTTCTTCTGGGGTTTATCAACTGCTTTTAGCTTCCTGGCACACTCCCAGACTCATCTGAGAAGTAGCATGAACCCAGTGATCTTGGCATCTAAAATTCTATCTTTAAAAGGCTAAATACCTTTGTTAGTGTCACGGTGGGTTCAAGCTTTCCATACAACCTTGCTGTCTCCTGCAGAGCACACACACAGGAATAACCACGCTCCCAGTGCAGCCCACACACCAGCAACCCGACTGCTTTGTTTGCTGGGTCACACTTAACCTCACTGTTTTAAACCTGTGTTTCCTATATACAATGGTAATTGCAACTGGCTTTCAACAGCATCTCAAGAACATAATTATATTATATAATGATATCTGAGAATTAGCAAGACACCATATCACCCTGTTTATCCATAACTTACAGGGTATGATGAATGAGTAAACCTGATCCTAGTAATGCCTTTCTGACCACCAAAATTCACTAAATGGATGGTTCTAATTGCTTCCCAGTGCTTCTGAAATACATTTACAAAACTTTCCTCTTATAATCTATATATATAGTCCTGTTTAAAATAAAATCTACCTGTGTATGCTTCAGGCCTTACTTTAATGAAAGTCTACCCTTATTGTAGATATGGCCACACAGAAACCATGGAAGTGACATTACAGACCATAATGTTCACTTTTGGAAAATGCTTTTTTAAATGAAAAAATTACATTTTTTCTAAAGTAATCAACCTTGAAGTTATCAACAGGTAAAACACTAATCACTCCTTTGCCAAACGCTGGGGATTGCACAGCTGTGTATTTTGGTGTAAGTTTTCATTGAACTATTTTTTAGATAATTCAAGATATTTACAAGCCTTATTTAGCATAGCACAGATCTGTACTGTTTCACCTTTCTCTGCTAGATTTTCTTTAGGGGCCATAAAAAACAATTAATGCTTTCATCCCAAAATCATGGAATTCTTTGTGTTGGAAGGAACTTTAAAGATTATCCAGGTCCAACCTCTGCTATGGGCAGGGACAACTTCCACCATCCCAGATTGCTTCAAGGCCCCTCCAACCTGATCTTGGACACTTCCAGCGAGAGGGTAGCCACAGCTTCTGTGGGCAATCTGTGCCAGTTCCCTCACAGGGAAATATTTCTTCCAGTATCTAATCTAAACTTACTCCCTTCTTAGCATGCAAATACAGTTTGTAGCTAAGATCCATGCAAAAAGGCACTATAAACATGAATTTTTTAAAATTCCTTTAAGTGATAGAGAAACTGAATATCTTGAGGTTTCCCAGCTCTGATGAGCTCTCCTGTGCCCAGTATTCAGTTCCCAAAAAGAAGCATCCCCAAAATAGCAGTTGGCAATACAGTGGTGCACAGACACAGAAGCACCAGTTTCCATGAGGATCAGCTGTGTTAGGAAATCCACTGCCCCAGTCATTTTGCTATTTAACCTGTTTTTCCTTGCACGGGTAAAGTCTGCTCCTCTCCCCTGCCTTGAGGGTACATGGATCTACTGCAAATGAACGTGCCTGTTGCTGCCAAGATTTTGGCACAGGTGTCAGTTCCTTGTCAGCCTCCAGGGCCAATAAACAGAGTCTCTGCAATGTAAAATGAGACAATACATTCACAAAAGCATCATGTTTTCCTAGAACATGCGAAGCTCCAAAATAAATGCATTTCAAACATCATAACACTCTTGTATTCATAAGGTTCATTACTGTTTTTAATATTGCTTGCTGCTTATTTACTGTTTGCTCTCTTGCTTTACTGCCCTGGTGAAATTGCAGTTAATTGATACCCTAAATGGAAAGAGAAAAGAAAAAAAAGGAACACAATTCTAGAAATGCTTGGTCCCTAACTAATCCTGCCATAGATTTGCTACTGCCAAGATGGCACTGTATAAAAAGGTTAAAAGTACGTCTTCCAAAATTTCTGTATCCTCTCTAATCTCTCTTGTCAATCTTTTAAAGTGGCTTTTTGGCAGTGAAAGAAGCCCTCTCCATTCTGTGACAAAACACTTTCAACAGAAGATGACCTTACAAGCAGATGTCTCTCTGATGACTGCAGCTGTCTTACCAGGATATTCACAGAAACAAAGTCCCTCTGAAGAATGAGAAATAATACATTTCCCTACAAGAAGATTTTATACCCCTCAAAAAGATAGGATTCTCAGCAGACTCTCCCACATCAGCTTTTCAGGGTGCCCTTCCCACAACTGTCTAATAATTTTTGAATAGCATTCCCCAGGGACACAAAGCCCCACTCCTCACATGCAGCACAGGCACTTGGCTTGGTTTTGTTCTGGTTAATGAATTGTATTCTACTTAGAAGGAAAAATCTTTCTTGTCCCTTGAAAATCCCCCTGACTGTCCTTCAAGCTGCTTGCCTACCCCAGTGCCACCTTTATCTGCCTCCACTGGTAATGGTACCACCTCACATCTGTCCAGCTACACAGATGCCAATTTGCTCTTCAACAAACCCAGTCTGTTCCATGCATTATTTCATGAGGCTGAAACCCTATATTTTATGATAGCTTAAAAACTGCTTATCTAGGCAAATTTATCTGCAAATTCTCATGGGCTTTTGTGCATGCTGCATTGTGAACATTAAATGTTTTCACTTATTTTAGTTCAGACTCATTCCACTGCACAATATTTGCAAAAACCCCTCTCTGGCAAAACTGTGCAGTAAAACAAGTACAATCAGCTGATAACAATAAAGAATGGTGCACGGTTGTTCATTTCCTTAGCAAGAAAACAATCAATTTAGCAAAGCAACAAAATCAATTAAATATCAGCTATTCCCCAAGATACTGCTTGCTTTCCCCATCTGAACTTTGGAGCCTCTCTTTCTGTGATGGCATAAATGATAAGAGGAAGATTGGAAACGATGGTCATGGTGCTACTTCACATTTTTCTCAGGAACAAAACCAGCAGAGAGGATTTCCAAGGGAAATGTCACACAAAAAGCATTCTTGTGTCTGAGGGAAATTTACATTTGAACCTTATTGATAATAAGAAGGAATGATTAATTTCTTCTGTAAATAGCACACAATAGCTTGGGGTTTGGTGCTGCATTTATCCACAGAGAGGTGGGAAAAACCTACCACAGCATGTTCTACCAGGCAGCAATCTGATACCATCAGAGGAACTCACAATACTTCCTATTGCAAATGAAACAGTAACTGACTGCTGAGTTATGACAGCATTTTTAGCTTTATATTAAAGACAAGAAGTACTAAGTAGCAATGTACTTTCTTTTGCCTATCAAAAAAAAAAAAAAATCTGCATGAAGCCCCTAAAGAGATTTATTAGAGGCATGTGTGAGTACTCACACACAGTCCAGGTGTGTGAAGAAATCTGCAGGTCTACTTCATGTTTCCCACAAGCATC